ATTTTATATAAAATCTTAAATCTCTCCGCTGTTCACATTCTTAACAATCTGATTAACCAATCACAGTCAATCAAATGACGACTTCACAAATTTTGCCAGTCTTATCTGTTGATATACAACGTTTTACTATTGTACGCCATATGATGTCGTAATGTTTCCAGCTTTACTCTTGACTTCCGGTAACTTAACGGTCTATTTGCCATCCTATTCCCGGTACTTGTCGGACAAGAACCCGGTAAAGTTTACGGCTGATTGCTATTCCCTACCTTTCGGACAGGTACTCAGGAACGGTTGATACAGGTTGAACACGGACAATTATTTTTTTTTGTAAAGATTATTCTTGTTTTAATCGTGAGTATTACACTTTGAAGTCTACATGGAATATTTTATTTGACAGAAATTGCTGATGTGGCTGTTACGGAGAGCTTGACAAATATTATGACAGATGCTGACATCAACCAATCTGCAGCCACTAGAGTGTTTACAAGCTTTTTCTATTTTTAGCTACTGTGACCAAGTTTTTGACCGGAGATAACCCATCTTTGAACTTGACCTAGAAATCGTCGAAACAACCTTCTTGACAAGTTTCCAGAATATTTAGATGAAAACTGCAGCCACTAGAGTGTTAAAAAGCTTTTTCTATTTTTAGCTCCTCGGACCTAGTTTTTGACCTGAGACGACCCATCTTCGAACTTGACCTAGAAATCATCAAAACAACCTTCCTGACCAATTGCCAGAATGTTTGGATGAAAACTGCAGCCACTAGAGTGTTAAAAAGCTTTTTCTATTTTTAGCTCCTGTGACCTAGTTTTTGACCGGAGATGACCCATCTTCGAACTTGACCTAGAAATCATCAAAACAACCTTCCTGACAAATTTCCAGATTATTTGGATGAAAACTGCAGCTACTAGAGTGTTAACAAGCTTTTTCTATTTTTAGCTCCAGTGACCTAGTTTTTGACCGGAGATGACCCATCTTCAAACTTGACCTAGATATCATCAAAACAACCTTCCTGACAAATTTCCAGATTATTTGGATGAAAACTGCAGCTACTAGAGTGTTAACAAGCTCTTTCTATTTTTAGCTCCTGTGACCTAGTTTTTGACCGGAGATGACCCATCTTCGAACTTGACCTAGAAATCATCAAAACAACTTTCCTAACAAATTTCCAGAATATTTGGATGAAAACTGCAGCCACTAGAGTGTTAACAAGCTTTTTCTATTTTTAGCTCTTGTGACCTAGTTTTTGACCGGAGATAACCCATCTTCAAACTTGACCTAGATATCATTAAAACAACCTTTCTGACACATTTCCAGAATATTTGGATAAAAACTGCAGCCTCTAGAGTGTTAACAAGCTTTTTCTATTTTTAGCTCCTGTGACCTAGTTTTTGACCCGAGATAACTCATCTTCAAATTCGATCTGTATTTCATTGAGACAAACATTCTGACAAAGTTTGATGATGATCCAATCAAAACTGTGACTGCTAGACTGTTAACAACCCAATTGTTAGAGTGTTAACAAGCTTTTTCTATTTTTAGCTCCTGTGACCTAGTTTTTCACCGGAGATGACCCATCTTCGAACTTGACCTAGAAATCATCAAAACAACCTTCCTGACAAATTTCCAGATTATTTGGATGAAAACTGCAGCTACTAGAGTGTTAACAAGCTTTTTCTATTTTTAGCTCCAGTGACCTAGTTTTTGACCGTAGATGACCCATCTTCGAACTTGACCTAGATATCATCAAAACAACCTTCCTGACAAATTTCCAGAATATTTGGATGAAAACTGCAGCCTCTTGAGTGTTAACAAGCTTTTTCTATTTTTAGCTCCTGTGACCTAGTTTTTGACCCGAGATAATCCATTTTCGAACTCGATCTGTATTTCATTGAGACAAACATTCTGACAGAGTTTGATGATGATCCAATCAAAACTGTGACTGCTAGACTGTTAACAACCCAATTGTTGACGACGAACGACGAACGACGCACGACGCCGGACGCCGGACATAGCCCCATCACTATACCTCACCTTGACAACTTCGTGGTCAGGTGAGCTAAAAAAAATGCAAACGTCACTTTTATGTCACCGTAATTTTGTTATATGAACACAAATTTTAGATATTTCAAGTGGTAAAATTAATGAAACTTTTATAAAGTATTGACCGCCACTTTGAACTACACCTCAAATATTTCAATGTCGCAGATCGAAAATAAGTCAGTACTCAGTATTTAAGCAGAACTGAGATGACACCTTTAGACCCAAAGTGCGTTGATATGTAGTCAATTTCTCGATTTTAACCCCAAAGTGCGTTGGACCCCAAAGTGCGGTGTTACAGTGCTGTGCGTTTGAAACCTCTCAAGAGAAATAATAAAGATATTTAGTAGTGTTTCTCTTAACATTATGAAGAATTGAAACATACAGTAACTCTGCTTCCCTTATTATCATTCGACAGAAGGCCATACTGAAAATAAGTAAACTTCTTACTGTGAACTTTGTATGTTACCTTCTATAAATAAAGATTTTATTATTATTATCATTATAACACTTGCTTACTGGCAATGATTTCGCAAAAAGTTTATTCCTTATTTGATTTTATTACAAACTACTTAAATATTCATGTTTTTATATTCTTTAAGTCACGTAATGATGTAATTAGCCCACAAATTATAATCACTCGATCATTTGAACATATTAAATTGGCCTTGACGTGTCAAATTTGTGCCAACTTTTGCAACTTTTTGCTTCTGAAATATATGAGCCGCATCACGACAAAACCAACATAATGGGTTTGCGACCAGCATGGATCAAGACCAGCCTGCGCATCCGCGCATCGCTTACAAACCCTATTACAAGTAGGGAAACTGATAGCGAACAGCATGGATCCTGATCAGACTGCGCGGATGCTGGTCGCAAACACACTATGTTTGTTTTGTCGTGACGCGGCTCATATGTTATTGGTAATTGACATATTTTTCAAATGCTTCGCTTTAAGTAACAACTCAGCAACTTAGTATAAAGACTAATAATGCCGCCCAAGGTATTCCAAATGTTTGAAATTATCCCGTTGTTAACGAGTATTCGGTGATGTTTGGATTTAACGGTAGGCATAAACATGCAAAGTTGTGACGTCACAGTAGAAGTTGACGCTTCTCATTAACAACGTCATATTGCGTCCGGAAGATAAAACCAGCTGTTAATAAATCATTAAAACATGGAACATTAATGGCTAGTGAAAATCGAGGCTGTTTTGTTTGGCTCATAAGTTTAAAGAAGTCTTGCAACGAAAGGGTGAGTAGGCATTCAAGAATTTTAACATTACAGTATATTAAGATATAGTCAATTCAATGAAAACAAACGCTTTTCTTTAGCTTTCGACGTTTAGTATTTTTCAGAAAAAGTTGACGTTTATAAAATAACATTTTTTTTTAACATTATATTAAGATAATAAATTATTATTATTATTATTATTATTATTATTATTATTATTATTATTACTATTATTATTATTATTATCATTATTAAAATGAGTTTTAAAATTTGGAAGTAGAAAGGTATTTAACTGCAGCCGTCTACAGAATTGTTCTAGACGATCACTGCAGACCAAGATTAGTCAGACATAATCCCCTTCGGACAAAATCCCCTTCACCTACCTGGACAAAATCCCCTTCATGGGTGGACATAATCCCCTTCATGTTTTTGCAAGGCTGGGCAAAATCCCCTTCACTACCCGGACAAAATCCCCTTGTTTCATAGGTTTCTAATGTATTATTATGCTTCATAAAAATTGATGAATACTGTACTTTTGTTTTATTATTTATAATCATGTATCAATAGTTAACATTTATTTAGTTTAGAAGTTTTCATTAAAATTATGGTAAATTATCAACTGCATTACACATTTTTTGATTAGGCAATTTCTTTAATTTTTTTAAATTTATTAGTCTGAAAAACATTTCTATTAGCCAATAATTGTTGGCAATGAAGGGGATTTTGTCCACTTCAAAATTTCACACATGAAGGGGATTATGTTCACCCATGGAGGGGATTATGTCCAGATAAACACAAATACATGAAGGGTTTTTTTTCTGAAGGGGATTATGTCCATACACCGGTAAATATGTGTCGTCTGATCATAGACGATCACTGCAGACCAAGATTAGTCGGTAAATATTTGTCGTCTGATCATAGTCTATACTATTCGCTTTTCATTAAGTACATTTTTGAAAATATCCCTTAAAATGATGAAGGGTTTTGTCCAAAGTGAACGATAGACCTGTCTATTTATGATATTAAGGATGGCAGGGGTAAATGTTTTACCAGAAAAGAACATTGTCTCTTTTGCAGTTTGCAAGATTTCGAAACCGCATGCGCCAAAGATACTATGCAAGAAAAGGAAAGACTCTTGACCCAGAAACCCTGTTAAATGAAACAGGTACTGCCGACATGGTCGTCTGTAAGATTGCCAGCAAGTCAACCAAAGTCGTTCCTCAAAACATGTCATCAAAGAATGGTAAAGTCATAATTTATTTACTTTGTACATTGTGTTTTCTTTCTGCAGTTATGCACAAATATTAGCTACCTGTATTTGCTTTTAAAACTATAAAAAAAACAACAGAAATTTGAAGCACTTAAATGAGTGATTATACAAAAATACTAGAAAACCCCTATGCAAAAAGACACAAATGGTAAATTAAGAAGGCCCTGGTTAACACACATTTCCTCAGCCCATTACTGTTACATGTTCTTCAAAATCTATCACAGATAAAAATGCACAAAATTAACTTTTACGATCATGTTCGCCTTCCTGTCTTTGATTCTGTCAATTCTTTAATACGAATAAAATTGAAGCAACAAAAATAGGTTGTAATCTTGCATAAAATTCAACCAAAAACATATTCCTTTTTACCAGACGAGGCTGTTGATTCTAAAATTAGAACAGTGACAGGGACCGCAGCAGACGATGAGAGCATGGCAGACGACATTCTTGGTAAATACAGTCATGTATTTGGTCTACTATATTTGTTTACAGTTTCATTACTTATAGTAAATATTTTTTTAAAAGTTCTAAAAAATATAATTATATTTTAAGAAGTGGGCTTCAAAGCTGAAAAAAATCGACTTTAACTCATATAAGTGTATTTAAATGCTGCGTTCCTTGTCGAAATTGAATGTACATGTACTTTAAATCCGGAAGTATAATTCACAGACATACTGATACTGTGCAAGACAACAATATCAATCACTCGTATTAAAGGTCGATTTAGTCCGAAAATGCTTTATTTTTTTTTTTTAAAGATAGCTTCTTTAGATTTTTTGCAATTATTATAGTTACAGTGAGTCAGTATCATTTATTGAAGTCAAAACACCAGACTGACTTCCCTTTGCTACATTTATTGCAAATTATTTTTACTTCAAGCACTATTCTTTCCAGGTGGTAAGCATCTAACCTGCTCTAGTTTCATTATTCCATTATAACTACATTATAAAATGATGTTTGTCATTTTTTTTTAAGAAGAATATATGTATTAATTTCCGGAGACATAATGTGCCTTTAGGTAATGTCGTAATATGTGACGCGATGAATTAAATTCATTAGATAAAGAATTTTTTTTTCAGTTGAAGAATTTGTGACACGCATCATTAACAAGGCAGCCGACACTCTGAGACAGGAGTTGTCTAGCAACACAACGACCGTAACCGTGAAGCCAGCAGGCGACAACATTTCATTGTCCTCCAGTATCATCAGCCGTAAGTTTTATAGTTGCTTAACAACGTCCGTAGCAAGCAAGGTGCAGGAAATGAGCCTTGTTGTAACATTTTGCCTGTCAACTCACTGCCAGTTCAATGTAATGGTTCTGTTTTTGCGACAAAAATGACCGGAAATAAATACATAACACAGCTACAGGCGGCTTTTACCTTTTGGCGGGACTTTTTATATAAAATCTTAAATCTCTCCGCTGTTCACATCTTAACAATCTGATTAACCAATCACAGTCAATCAAATGACGACTTCACAAATTTTGCCAGTCTTATCTGTTGATATACAACGTTTACTATTGTACGCCATATGATGTCGTAATGTTTCCAGCTTTACTCCTTGACTTCCGGTAACTTAACGGTCTATTTGCCATCCTATTCCCGGTACTTGTCGGACAAGAACCCGGTAAAGTTTACGGCCTGATTGCTATCCCTACCTTTCGGACAGGTACTCAGGAACGGTTGATACAGGTTGAACACGGACAATTATTTTTTTTTGTAAAGATTATTCTTGTTTTAATCGTCAATATTATACTTTGAAGTCTACATGGAATATTTTATTTGACAGAAATTGCTGATATGGCTGTTACGGAGAGCTTGACAAATATTATGACAGATGCTGACATCAACCAATCTGCTATAAGAGCTCCTAGAACTGTCAAAGAATTCAAGGGTAAGATACATTTTTCTTGTGACAAACCATTCTTCGCAACTCGTGGTGTAAAATGAAACAAAATATGTGACGAGTCGATCAAGGAAAAATTTTCTGTCAGTCTATGCATTGAATCAAAAGCTATGTTTCACATTTATTTACATACGTACATGAGCTATTTAGACAGTGAGCTCATGAAATAATCTTTTTTTTACAGAAGCATTTGGTATAACCGGATATGACGCCATTGATGACGGTCTTCCACCTGTGAGCGTGTAAGGTAAGACTCATATTATTTTATTGAACCAAATTATATCATAGTTTCAAATGATAAAGTCAATCTATGTAAACTCCGTTATGCTTATTACAATATTATTCTGAGTTTAAAAATGTTATTTATGATAAATTTCAAAATTAAAGCTAAAATTTAAACTTTCTTTGTAAATGTATGTCATATGCAGTTATCATAATGACGTGAATTAGGATTCTACCCTCGCTCTAGATCTAAAGATCAAGGGGTATATAGTTAAACTACTTGGTAACTGCTTTACTCTTGGAGCTTTTTAGGATCGCACTCCTTAAAAAATTATTTGTTATTGTATTTATTACGCTTATTCAAAAACTGATCTTTAAAAATATTAAAGATATTTAATAAATACGTGCATGTAAAACTGATCGTTTCTTTGTTAAATACCATATACCGTTCTCTCTTTTTCAGAGTAAAAGAAAAAAGAAACTACGTGTGTGTGTTTGTTTCTGTGTTTGTTTTGTTTTTGTTTGTTTTGTTTTATGTTTGTTTGTTTTTGTCCTGTCTTGTTCTGTTTTGTATTGTCTTGTTATGTGTTTTTTTCTGTTATTTTCGTGTGTTTAATTATTATTATTATTATTATTATTATTATTATTATTATTATTATTATTATTATTATTATTATTATTATTATTATTTTTATTAATAATATTAATATTATCATTATTATTATCATTATTATTATTATAATTATTATTATTATCTGCTCAGGCATCGACTTTATTGTTAAAATAGTATTGTTATATAGAGGATATTTGTTGGTTTTGCATGTAAGATTGAAATATAATTTCACTGAGTGAACACCAGATGCAATATTTTCACGAGTGGCGTAGCCACGAGTGAAAATATAATAGCTGGTGTTCACGAATGAAATCTATATAAATCTTATATGTAAAACAAATAAATTTTCTTTTTATTTCATGCGTTTTAAGTAATTTTTATTGATTTTGCCGCGTAACGTCGCGCATTCTCCTTTGTGACGTCATTACATTTTGACGTCACATCAACAAGTTTGAAATATAGTTCTGTTAAATTTCTCTAATGTTGTTACATTTTTAACATAATGTATGGTGACATCGACTTTCTTTTCCGAAAGAAGTAAAATTTACGCATGACGGCATTTATTTTTGCCTGTTATTCCATTCAGTTTTGATTTTCTTTTCATCCGCATTCAGATATAGTCCGGCTACAGTGAAAATTATATTTTATAAATTTCACTAGTGGTTTATCAGAATATAATCATCTGATATATTACAATAAAACACTGGAAAGCATGAAATAAAAAAAAGTTTCTGAATTTTATTATTACTAATAAAGTCCATTGAAGCATGCAGTAACTTTTTTGTATTATTTGCTATATAAAGGGACACAATTGTGAAAACTGATTTACGACTAATTGTCAGGTTGCGTCCCTTGATGAACAAATTATTAAGCAATGTATCATATCCGTCATCCGTTTTTTATTAATCATGACTGTAATAGTGATTGGCGTCCGCGCCGAAGCGCGGCGCCCTTATGGAATGAAATCAGATTTTGTGAATGGGCGACAGCAACTTCTCGAGCCTTTTATTATGACCACATAATAAAAGCCGATCATTCCGATCGGTATGAGGGTGCTTGATTAAAAAAAAATGTCTCGATATGAACAATGAATAGCAAACTGGAGAATTTCACAATGCATGAAATAATTTATATCATTAAAAATGTTCTCCGCAGGAAACCATTTTCCTTGTAAAGCAATATGGCGCTATGTCGTGAATTGTTTATTGGGGTCCGCGCCGAAGCGCGGCGCTCTTATGGAATGAAATCAGATTTTGTGAATGGGCGACAGCAACTTCTCGAGCCTTTTATTATGACCACATAATAAAAGCCGATCATTCCGATCGGTATGAGGGTGCTTGATTAAAAAAAATGTCTCGATATGAACAATGAATAGCGAACTGGAGAATTTCACAATGCATGAAATAATTTATATCATTAAAAATGTTCCCCGCAGGAAACCATTTTCCTTGTAAAGCAATATGGCGCGATGTCGTGAATTGTTTATTGGCGTCCGCGCCGAAGCGCGGCGCCCTTATGGAATGAAATCAGATTTTGTGAATGGGCGACAGCAACTTCTCGAGCCTTTTATTATGACCACATAATAAAAGCCGATCATTCCGATCGGTATGAGGGTGCTTGATTAAAAAAAATGTCTCGATATGAACAATGAATAGCGAACTGGAGAATTTCACAATGCATGAAATAACCTTTTCCGTCTCTTCGTTTTTTTTATTTATCATTTTGTAGTACACAGTGGGTTATTATGGTATGTTAAAATATAATGATGAGTTGATGACCTAAACATTCCGCAAATCTATTTATAGAGGGATGTACGTCTATCGGTAATTCCCGGTCTCTCCCGGTCTATTTTGACCGGGATTTACTAGTGACGTTTATTGTCCGGTCTCTCACGGTTTTGGAGTAGATGTTTGATATCGTTACAGAACAGAACAAATATTTTACAGATAAATAAGCTTTTTTCCATAATGAATGTGTGTCACTTAGTTTGGTTACAATAATTAATAAACACAGATGAACTCATTATTATACATAACATACAATTCGAAAAAAAACAACAACAACAACAATAGCATGTTTCATTTTATCTTTATGAGATAAAAACAATAAATATTTGCAATAATTGAGCAAAAGGTACATTTTTACGGTATTAATATGACACTATCAACTTTGAAACATTTTATTTAATTTGTTATTCGTATTTAGTAAAGATGCCGAGGAATTATTCAAAGTTACAAATTAGATTTTATGAATTATTCAATTGATTGATAATTTAAAAAATGAAAAAGAAAAATACAAATGTACATGTACATTGTTTAAGAATAAACAATACATAGTATTATATATTGAAAGATTAAGAATAATTTACTGACTTTTTCCACTTAAGTTTTGATTCATAATCGTCGGTCAATATGACAATTGAATTCTTAAAATTTATTTTACAATTTTGATAAAAAAGAGTAGTAAACGTAAAAACTCAGTATTAAAATAGCACATAAAACACAAAAAAGAGAGGAAAACAATATTCATAAAATCTTTTTTTTTATATTAAAATAGATAATTATTACAATTATTGTATAATAAACAATTATGCTCAACATGATCAACATGGTAATATAACCAGTGTCATATTTTTACTAAGTGTGAACAGATACCTTAATAGGGGGTCTTCGCTAATAGCGATAACATTATAAGAGACAATTCCACAAGGTGTTGATCATGCGTTACACATATGAATTATAAATGAACGTAAACATGTATATCCGTTGCTATTTAAAATCACGATCATAAAGAAATAACAAGTAATATTCTAATCTCTAGCAGGCCAATCAAAGTTCATAATGAACAATGTCTTTCGTCCGTTCATTCTGGTAAAAACAAATTAACCATTGAAAAGTTTATAAGAATATCTTGTCATCATATGTCTACTAGTTCATCTTCACTTTCTGCATTTCTTGCTTGGACGCCCTTTGATGCTTTGCATCAATGCTTTTCTTGTCTTTTTTTGTAATCCTCATTGCGACGCTTAATTCATGACACACTAAGATATGACGTCAGGAAATAAATATTCCGGACTGTCACGAGGTAATGACCATTGCAACCTTTCTTCCCTTTCCGTCAACCTTCGGATTATCGATGATCGGTGAGGTATTCCGAAAGGAGTATGAAAAATTCTTTTACAAGTATATATACGTCTGCTGTACAAATGCAAATTCATTCATATGTTTTTAACAAGAAATTTCTTTTTATATGCCAACTACCTAAATAATATTAATTTGATGTTTAAGAAAGTAAGATAAATAATTCTTCATCAAAGAATTTGGATTAAAATTTAAATTAAGTTCACCTTTCATGAACTCAGCTCTAAAATATTTTGGCTTGACTTCTACAATATAAGAATTTGCTTTAAGCAATCACTTAAATCAAGTTTCTATTTTCTTGTTTATAGGAACGATAAGACGGATGTAACGGACGGAGTAATTGTTAAGATATCTATCGTATATAAAAAACATCTAATTGCACACGTGTTATGTGTTTTTAGTTTTATTTATATTGGGCACCGGCTTTGCCGTATGTCCCAGACTATCGGCCTCTGTTACGTCGCTGGTCGTAGAGCCTGCAACGGAGGACTTAGTTCGCCTTCAATGTGCGCAACGGAGGTCTTCTCATGCGGTCTTTCGTCTCTAGGACCCAATTCTTCGCGTCTTAAATGCTGTAGACAATAGGAGGAAAGGCACCTCTTCCGGGAGAGCAGCTCTTTGTAGGGCCCCACCCTTCACCGTTGGTTAGGTCACACCAGCTAAGTGACATAATAAGGTCACCCATCTGGTGTGACCTATTCCCTCCGAGCGTCGTGCACGCCGCGCAGGGAAATCGGAGGCAATTGCACACGGTGCCCTTATCGCGGCATTTATAATTTCTTCATTCAAGATCGTATCGTATTGTCGCGATGTCACTTCGCATTGTCGCGATGTCACTTCGCTTTGTCTGGATGTTACTTTACATTGTCGCTATGTCACTATGCATTGTCTGGATGTCATTTCGCATCGTTGCGATAACACTTCACATTGCCTGGATGTTACTACGCATTGTCTTGATGTCAATTCGCAATGCCTGGATGTAAATTCGCCTTGCCTGGATCACACCGTACAATCAAATGGGCAGACAGCAGTTCAAGCGTCGACAGCTGTACCAGTATATACATGTCGGCGCACGAAACACAATTGACGGACGGTAAGTATTCATCTACTTTTAACATATCCCAACTGTTTTCGAGTAAATCAATGTTATGGATTCATAGTCAACATCCAAAGGAGCATACTTACAAATTTCTGACCCTGTGCAAGATTTACTTCACGTGAATTTTGACTGAAAATAACCATAATATAATAACATAATAATAATGAAGATATTTACAGTAGACGTGTTTCTCTAAACATTATCGAGAATTGAAACATATAGTAATTCTGCTTCACATATGATTATTCGAAACTTCCTAACTTGCAATAATTTCGCAAATTTGTTTCTGATTTGATCTGATTACAAACTTCTTAAATAATCATGTTGAATACTTTTTCAAGTCACGCAATGATGTAATTAGCCCACAAATAATAATCGCTCGATCATTTGAACATATTAAATTGGCCTTGACCTGTCAAATCTGTGCCAACTTTTGCAACATTTTGACTCTTACTGTCAAACTTCCGAAAAATAAGTTATTCATTTGGTAATTGGCATAATTCGGAACAAGATTTCAATAAGCATGAAGTTGCTTCCACTCTAATCCCCTTTGTATTGTTTGTAAATATGTTCTTATGTGATAAATGAAATATGTTTAAACCAATTGGCATATTTTTAAATGCCTCGCTTGAACAACTCAGCAACTTAGAATAAAAACTAAAAATGCCGCCCAAGGTATTCCAAATGTTTAAAATTATCCCGTTGTTAACGAGTATTCGGTGATGTTTGGATTTAACGGTAGGCATAAACATGCAACGTTGTGACGTCACAGTAGAAGTTGACGCTTCTCATTAGCAACGTCATATTGCGTGCGTAAGATAAAACCAGCTGTTAATAAATCATTAAAACATGGAACATTAATGGCTAGTGAAAATCGAGGCTGTTTCGTTTGGCTCATAAGTTTAAAGAAGTCTTGCAACGAAAGGGTGAGTAGGCATTCAAGAATTTGAACATTACAGTATATTAAGATATAGTCAATTCAATGAAAACAAACGCTTTTCTTTAGCTTTCGACGTTTAGTCTTTTTCAGAAAAAATTAACGTTTATAAAATAACATTTTTTTTAACATTATATCAAGATAATAAATTGTGATTTCTGTGCATAATTAATGGAATCATGTGCATAATTAATGGAATCATTAATTATAATAATAATAATAATATATTATTATTATTATTATTAATATTATTATTATTATTAAAAATGAGTTTTAAAATTTGGAAGTAGACAGGTATTTAACTGCAGCCGTCTACAGAATATACGCAGACGATCAGTGCAGACCAAGATTAGTCCGTAAATATGGGTCGTCTGATCATGATCTGTACTGTTTGCTTTTCATTAAGTACATTTTTGAAAATATCCCTTAAAATGATCAATGGTTTTGTCCAAAGTGAACGATAGACCTGTCTATTTATGATATTAAGGATGGCAGGGGTAAATGTTTTACCAGAAAAGAACATTGCCTCTTTTGCAGTTTGCAAGATTTCGAAACCGCATGCGCCAAAGATACTATGCAAGAAGAGGCAAGACCCTTGACCCAGACACCCTGTTAAATGAAACAGGTACTGCCGACATGGTCGTCTGTAAGATTGCCAGCAAGTCAACCAAAGTCGTTCCTCAAAACATGTCATCAAAGAATGGTAAAGTCATGATTTATTTATTTTGTACATAGATTCTTTTGTACATTGTGTTTTCTTTCTGCAGTTATTCACAAATATTAGCTACCTGCATTTGCTTTAAAAAATAAATAAAACAGCAGAATTTTGAAGCACCACTTGACATTGAATGAGTGGTCATACTAATATATTAGAAAACCACTATGCAAAAATTTTAATGATTATTTAGCATTTCTGTCTTTGATTCTGTTAATTCTTTCACACAAATAAAAATTGAAGCAACAAAAATTAGGTTAATTAATCTTGAATAAAAATCCAAAAACACATACCTTTTCTCCAGACGAGGCTGTTGATTCTAAAATTAGAACACTGACAGGGACCGCAGCAGACGATGAGAGCATGGCAGACGACATACTTGGTAAATACAGTCATGTGTTTGGTCTACTATATTTGTTTACAGTTTCATTACTTATAGTAAATATTTTTTATAAAGTTCTAAAAAATAAAATTATATTTTAAGAATTGGGCCACAAAGCTGAAAAAATCGACTTTCACTCATATAAGTGTATTTGAATGCTGCGTTCATTGTCGAAATTGAATGTACATGTACTTTAAATCCGGAAGTATAATTCACAGACATACTGATACTGTGTAAGACAACAACAACAATTACTCCTATTAAAGGTCGATTTAGTCCGAAAATGCTTTATTTATTTTTTTCTCAGAAACTTTTTTTTTAAATTTTAATGTGTTTTTTACAGTTTTTTTTTAAAGATAGCTTCTTTAGATTTTTTGCAATTATTATAGTTACAGTGAGTAAGTATCATATTGAAGTCAAAACACCAGACTGACTACCCTTATTTAGTGAATTATTTTTACTTCACGCACTATTCTTTCCAGGAGGTAAGCATCTAACTTGCTCTACATCCATTATTCAATTATTACTACATTATAAAATGATGTTTGTCATTTTTTAGACATAATGTGCATTTAGCTAATGCTCTACATCCATTATTCCATTATTACTACATTATAAAATAATGTTTGTCATTTATTTTAGACATAATGTGCCTTTATCTAATGTCGTAATATGTGACGCTATGTATAAAATTCATTAGATAAATTGTAAAGATTTTTTTTTTCAGTTGTAGAATTCGTGACACGCATCATTAACAAGGCAGCCGACACTCTGAGACAGGAGTTGCCTAGCAACACAACGACCGTAACCGTGAAGCCAGCAGACGACAACATTTCATTGTCCTCCAGTATCATCAGCCGTAAGTTATATAGTTGCTTAACAACGTCCGTAGCAAGCAAGGCGCAGGAAATGAGCCTAGTTATAACATTTTGCCTGTCAACTCGCTGCCAGTTCAATGTAATGGTTCTGTTTTTGCGACAAAAATGACCGGAAATAAATACATAACACAGCTACAGGCGGCTTTTACCTTTTGGCGGGACCTTTTATATAAAATCTTAAATCTCTCCGCTGTTCACATCTTAACAATCTGATTAACCAATCACAGTCAATCAAATGACGACTTCACAAATTTTGCCAGTCTTATCTGTTGATATACAACGTTTACTATTGTACGCCATATGATGTCGTAATGTTTCCAGCTTTACTCCTTGACTTCCGGTAACTTTACAGTCTATTTGCCATCCTATTCCCGGTACTTGTCGGACAAGAACCTGGTAAAGTTCACGGCCTGATTGCTATCCCTACTTTTCGGACAGGTACTCAGAAACGGTTGATACACGTTGAACACGGCCAAATATTTTTTTGTAAAGAATTATTGTTTTGTAAAGATTATTCTTGTTTTAATTGTGAGTATTACACTTTGAAGTCTACATGGAATATTTTATTTGACAGAAATTGCTGATATGGCTGTTACGGAGAGCTTGACAAATATTATGACAGATGCTGACATCAACCAATCTGCTATAAGAGCTCCTAGAACTGTCAAAGAATTCAAGGGTAAGAATTTTTGTTGCTTTGACAAACCATTCTTTTTACCCATAGAGAATACAGTTCAATTGTTGAAGATAACATCCCAACTTTTCGTGTAAAATGAAACAAATTATGTGACCAGTCGATCAAGGAAAATTTCTGTCAGTCTGTGCATTGAATCAAAAGCTCTGTTTCACACTTATTTACTCACGTACATGAGCAATTAAGACAGTGAGCTCATGAAATCATCTTTTTTTACAGAAGCATTTGGTATAACCGGATATGACGTCATTGATGATGGTCTTCCACCTGTAAGCGTGTAAGGTAAGACACATATTATTTTAGTGAATCAAATTATATAAGTTTCAAATGATAAAGTTACTCTATGTAAACTCCGTTATGCTTTTTGCAATATTATTCTGAATTTAAAAATGTTATTAATGATAAATTTTAAAACTAAAGCTAAAATTTAAACTTTCTTTGTACATGTATGTCATATGCAGTTATCATAGTGACTTGAATTAGGATTGTACCCTCGCTCTAGATCTAAAGATCAAGGGGTATATAGTTGAACTACTCGGTAACTGCTATACTCTCTGAGCTTTTTAGGATCGCATTCCTTAAAAAAATATTTGTTATTGTATTTATTACGCGTATTCAAAAACTGATCTTTGAAATATAAAAAATATTTAATAAATACGTGCATGAAAAACTGATCGTTTCTTTAAAGCCAGTATTTTGTTAAATACCATATACCGTTCTCTCTTTTTCAGAGTACAAGAAAAAAGAAACTACGTGTGTGTGTGTTCGTTTATATGTTTGTTTTGTTTTTGTTTGTTTTGTGTTTGTTTGTTTGTGTTTGTTTCTATGTCTGTTTGTTTGTTTTTGTCCTGTCTTGTTTTGTTTTGTATTGTCTTGTTATGTGTTTTTTTCTGTTATTTTCGTGTGTTTTATTATTATTATTATTATTATTATAAATTATTATTATTATTATTATTTATTTATTCATTTATTTATTTATTTATTATTATTATTATTATTATTATTATTATTATTATTATTATTATTATTATTATTATCTGCTCAGGCATCGACTTTATTGTTAAAATATTATTGTCATAAAAAGGTTTCTGAATTTTATTATAACTAATAATGTCCATTGAAGCATACAGTAACTTTTTTTGTATTATTTGATATATAAAGGGACACAATTGTGAGTCAGGTTGCGTCCCTTGATGAACTGTATCTTATCCGTCATCATGACTGTAATAGTGATCTTTTTTTTTTGTAATCCTAGTCATTGCGACGCTTATTTCATGACATACTAGGATATGACGTCAAGAAATATTCTAGACTGTCACGAGGTAATGACCAGTGCAACTTTTCGTTCCATACCGTCATTTATTATCGATGATCGGTGAGGTATTCCGAAAGGACTATGAAAAATTCGTTTACAAGTATATTTACGTCTGCTGTACTGAATAAATTCATTCATACGTTTTTAAAAGTCTTTAATGAAAACAAGAAACTTCTTGTTTTTGCCAACTACCTAAATAATATTAATTTGATGTTTCAAGAGAGTAAGAACGATAATTCTTCATCAAACAATTTGGATTAAAATTTAAATTATGTTCACCTTTCATGAACTCAGCTCTAAAATATTTCGGTTTGACTTCTACAATATAAGACTTTGCTTTAGGTAATCACTTAAATCAAGTTTCTATTTTCTTGTTTATAGAAACGATAAGACGGATGTTGTGGATTAACTAATAACATAAACAAACAATATAGTTTGATGCATATCTAAATCCGAGAGTAATACAGTCTAAACTTTAATCTTAGTAAATAGATATTGAAAGATTTGGTAGTCACGAACCACATGATATGTATGGTATTTATTTAATAAACATCAGCTTCGAATGTATACGAATTGCATTGAATTCATCAGTCGATTGTAACTTTGGCCCTTATCCCTAGGGAACAGATGAAACTTTAATTTTATTCTTTTTTTTTGGTCATCGGATTACTTTTGTAAAGTATGGTGGCTGGTTTGTGCATTGCCGTACTTTTGCTTTTGCAAGGCGAGAACACGAAAAATACGAGAAAGTAACCACTGCCACCAAAGCAAAGAGCACCTTAATGCGGGGACACTCAGATTGTACTATACCCACATATCGCCACCGTACTACTAGTTGGATGACCTCCCGCTATTTGAGCGCTTAAGATAGATTAAAAAAGAAAGACATAAAAAAGGACGGAAAGTAAAACACTGACCAACATCTTAAAGGTGGGGGCTTGATAACAACTGACTTATATAATACCATAAGAGCTTATTTGATTTATTCAGACGTTGGGACCTTCTTTTCAGTCGTACCATGCTTTTTAATAAAGTAAATTGACTGCTCACTGTACATGATGCTTTAGCTTGTTTCTCTGACTTCTGGTACTTGAGCCCGAAGACAAGGAAAGATAACTGTGTTCTCGGGCGTTTTAAAAAGAGGGGTGTGTCTTCCGACAGCCTTCCGTCGAACATAATGAAATTAGTATGAATTAGGCAACCTTAGATAACAAAACAGGCTGATACTAGTAAATAAAACCACATGCAAGCTTTTGACACTATTGTGTTAACTGCTAACTTGCAGATGACTAAAAACACTTTCTAGCAGTCCCCATAACTCATTTTATAATTTTAAGCACTTTTCTTTCAATCAACATCAGAACTATTTAGCAATATATATCAGCTATATCTTAACAGTTATGAAATTTTATTATGTTAAACCTAGCTTTTATCTTTTTATCCATGGATGGACAAAAAGTAAATTTAATCAAGTACTCTGTATATATAACATAGAGCCTGATCATCCGGGTCAAGCGAGTGTGTTTCCGGTATTTTAATCACATGTAGACATTCAGTACTTGTTATTCATGTTTGACGAAAGTGCATCTGTACTTATATTGTATATAAGAATATAGTCCATGCTGACAACAGATCGTCTTCGGCACAATCATGGACAAATACTCGGTTTACTTCATAGGGCTATTGTGCTTGAGCTCGGGTACCAGGCATAACACTGTTCCCTGACATTTAAATACGGGGATTTGTGTCCTGAGCTTGAAATTTTCGCACCCCGCCGCACCCCAGTATTTAAATGAAGTTCTAGCAATAGATCAATCTTTCGTTAATTCGAATTTCATTTTTCTCCAAGATTCTTTTTGACTTGGAACCAATAGACACTGAAAAGTCTTTTTGAATTTGCTTACTGTTTTTAAGGTTTGTTAAATATAAAATAAACTTTGAAACAACTTATGCTCAGCTTTGTTTTATATACCCTTATTCATCCTTCGAAGGTAATAATAACGATCGTGATAATGATGGTATCGGTGATGGTGTGGTGTTGATGATGATGATGATGATGATGATGATGATGATGATGATGATGATGATGATGAAGGTAATGATGGTGATGATAGTGATGATGGTGATAGTGATGATGTTGATGGTGGTGGTGCTGCTGCTGATGATGGTGGTGATAATAGTGATCTTGCTAATGATGTCGGTGGTGATTTGAAGTTCAATCAAGTTAATAATGATAGGCCTTAATTTCATATGTGACACGGTTAAAAACCAGCGGACTGGAGAGTCTTTGATATATGTTTCACTTCTTAAAAATCATGCTGAGATAAATTATATTCAAACACATATCTGGTAAGAAAGTGCATGATCCCTCGGAAGCATTAAAAACTTTATAATAACATGAAAAATGCAGACTCTGTTTGATTGAGTCTGCACATGAGGGATAATAAAAAAACTGCAACATCCCTCACGTCCCCTAGCAACGACTTGAGCGGCTCTCAATTCTCAACACTTAAAAGTACTGGACTCAATGATCCCGAATGACCAGAAAAATATAACAACACTGAAGTGAAGTACGGGGCATTTTTTACGGCTGCCACACAGCACTTGACACCTGCTGTTGTGATGTATTAATATCGATCCCTCGGAAGCATTAAAAACAGCAAAATTACAGACTAGGTTTGATTGAGTCTGTACATGAGGGATAATGAAAAAGTGCAACATCCCTCAGTATGAATTTCGGAACAAGTAACGTTTCAAAACTTTAATCCAGCGCGTCATCAGATACATTATTCTTTTAACCACATTGTGGTAAACATTTGTTTATTTATGTTGATCCAATTATCAGCCTTTTATCTTCAAAGAACTTCAACCTGGCTATTTATGTTTGTTGAGTGTGTACTATTGCCATATAATAATTAACGCAAACATTCTTGTGGTTTTAACAAACGTGTCTAGTTCATAAATTACATCTACATTCCGTAATGCAAATGGAAAACACCGGTGAGTGGGTGTATCCGAATTTCTCATTTACCAATAAGTGACGATAAGTTTAATCATTAAAGAATAATAAATTAGACGACCAAACATGTTCTATCTTGACCATCGTCATCTGAAATGTTGTAAAAGAAAAGGTAGCTTCAAATTTACAAATGAAACATTTTCTTTATTCTCTTTTCCTCCGAAAAAATAAAGACATTACAGATATTCAAGTATTATTGTGGTCATCATTAATTTGTTGTTATTTAATCATCATCATCATACTCATCATTTCATCATCATCATCGTCGTCTTCTCTTTCATCATCATCATAATCATCATCATAAACAGCAGCATCGTCAACTTCTCTTTCATCATCATCATCATCATCATCATTATAAACATCATCATCGTCACCTTCTCTTTCATCATCATCATCATCATCATCATTATCAACATCATCATCGTCAACTTCTCTTTCATCATCATCATTATAAACATCATCAACGTCAACTTCTCTTTCATCATCATCATCATTATCATCCTCCTCATCATCATCATGAGTATTATCTTCATTGTAAATACATTGGACCATCATAATTATTTTGTGTAAGTGTGAAATGCTTATTTTCATATGTAAAACAATTTTCAATTTAAAACAAAAATGTCAGTTAGTTATATGTTTCTTATTGCGCCTGCATTGCCGTAAGTTATTTTTTAAATGGCGACCCGCATCACACATACAAAAACGTGCAACAATAGCGCGTGCTCACGTGATTTTATCCATTTATGCTATGTTTTCTTCTTCGTTATTGTATATCTGATTGCACAGATTCATGCAAGAATATGTATAGATGGTAATGGTAGTTTTTACTCCGGATCACGACAGTACCCACCTTGAATTTACAAGAGCACAGTTCAGCCACCGCAATCATATATATGAGTACATTTTAGAACATTGTTTCAATAGGTGGTGCGATAGGTACAAAGTAATA